CAAGCAAACTATCACCCCCACAACCCCCCTCCCCCCAAAAAAAGCTGTGAAAAGGGAGGCCCAGCCCTTATGTAAAAATCTTATGTCTGCTATGACCAACACATCTCTAAAATGGCCAATGTTACCATAATAAATTGATTAAATGGCAACCCAGTGTCTGTGTGTGTGACTGAACTCTAGCCTGGCCCGGCATGCTAGGGAAAACCCTGCAATATCAGGCCTGTGGCCACCTGAGGGGAGGGCCTGCCAGCCAGAAGACACTGCACTTGTGTGAGGAATTTCTCATCAGAGAGGCTTCTGAGGTCAAAGGTTGGCGCTCCTCCCTGCAGCCATTTTAGAAGATGTGTTGGTCATTGCAGACAACGCTAAAGCCAGAATACCTATTTGAAATTCCATGGTCACCTGTCAGCAAACTTCATCCAAATGTGCCACAGAGCTTGCTCTCCAATTTCTCAGTGCGGCAGCCCCACCTCAGCACCCCCTCAGCACTCTGGGATGGAATTGGCAGGACTCGGCAATAGCCAGCACCAGTCTGGGGTCACTGGAGCCCTGCTGGCCTCTTCTTTCAAAGCAGTGGGCCGGGCCACCCCAGCCCAGCCCAGCCCAGCCCAGGAACAAGACGGCCTTCCCTCTCCCTCTGGACTCACAGCCTTTGCAAAGCCAAGCTCCACTTGAAGCTCACTCAATAATATCCTTTACACATGTTTTTATATTGTTTTGACTGCATTATTTTGTAGAAATAAAAATTGACCTTAGAGTTTATCCTCAGATGAACTTGTCAGGATTTGAATGTTACTGTCTTTTGTAAAGCAAGTGGGATTGTCCCTGAAATAGTCCAGAGTACATGTCACTGACACCCAGAGGAAGGCACCAACTCTACTTTGGCCACTGGTGGCATCCTTCTTGGCTCTCCAGGGTACTAGATTCTGTGGAGGAATGACTTAAAGAAATTTTGCTTTGTTTTAATTTTAGTTCTAAAAATTTAGATCTTTCCAGGGCTTATGACCTATAAGACAGCTTGGTTTTGCCTGTGCAGAAATGGGAGTGATGGGTAGGTTTGGAAGCACAACATTGATTAGTTGTACAGGTGTGTGGCCCCTGAAGGGTGTCAATGAATTCAGCTTCTTTAGACCTGCTTTACTCATGGGACAGGTTCTGGAGACTCCTGTATGCCCAGGAGAGCTGAGCCAGCTTTCCACATCTGTCTCTTCATTAGCAGAAAGGTGATGATGGACTTTATTTCACTCACACACAGATTTGTAGTAAAATGCCAAATTCTGTCAGAAGCTATCCAGATAAGCCACCATCATTGCTTCTCTGAATCCAAAATTATTGCCATTCTTGGAAGCTGTCCCATTGCTTCATATTTCTACCAACGTAGTTCTGCCTACCCGTCATCTCTCATTTCTTTGTTCACATGGGAGGTACCTTTGTCAAACAGGCAGCCCCTCAGGGTTCTCTCAGGCCTGGCATTACACCCCACTGTTTACCCCAGTCAGGAGGGTCCTGGCCTTGGGAGAGCAAGGCCATAGTTGGTCCTTCCATCTGGCCTGGGTGGCTTGCTTCATCCAACCTGAAGCAGTGCCAGTGGTCGCCAAGCTGTCAGGGTAGGCTTTGAGCACACTGGTGCCCTGGCAGCTCCACAGCCAAATAGTTGGGTCCTCTGGGGAAGGGGAGAGCTGTCACCACTGACCTGAGCTCACTTAGGAATTTATTCCTGCCTGAACTGAACCTAAGTAGGCCAGGTCCTCCACCTCCTCCCTGTCCTCCGTGGCAGAGTAGGCTTTCCAAGATTCTGTGATCCTGTTCTGCTGCCCTTAATAAAAATTCTCTTCAACACTGAAAAAAATAAAAAAAAAATTTAAAAAGTTTCCTAAGTCAAGTTTGTTTTTATTCTATTACAGTTGTCTCAATTTTTACCCCTTTCCCCCCCTCACCCATCCCACTCCCATCCCCCACTCCCACAGTCAATTCCCACTCTGTTGTCCATGTCCATGGGTCATTCATACATGTTCTTTGTCTAGTCCCTTCCCATTCCTTCCACCATTGTCCTCTTTCCCCATCCCCTGTGGTCACTTTCGGTCTGCTCCATGTTTCTGTGCCTGTGGTTTATTTTGTTCGTTAGTTTATTTTGCTGAATAGAGTCCACTTATAGATGAGATCATACAGTATTTATCTTTCATCAACTGGCTTATTTCACTTAGCTTAATATTCTCCAGTTCCATCCATGTTGTCGCAAAAGGTAGGAGTTACATCTCTCTCTTTTTCTTTCTTTCTTAAATGCAGATTAATTTTATCTATTTTTTTAAATGTCAAAGTTAATTATAAAATATTAAAAAATTTAAAACCATTATAAAATCTCAGGAATTAAACCAACATGACACCAGCACAGAAATAATCAAGTAGATCAGTGAAATACAATGAGCATTCTAGAGACAAATGTATATATCTGTCTAGCAATGTACTATATGATTAAGTTGATATTTCACATCAATGGGTAAAATAAGGCTTATTCAATAAATAAGGTGCATGGACCACTGTTACTTGATAAAAAACAAATATAGAGTCCTATTTCACACATTATACAAGAAATATTCAAATGAGTTAAAAACCAATACGTAGAATCTAAGGAGTTTTAGAAGAAAATAGAACTAATATTGTTCATGACCTGAGGTAAAATATTCAAACCCAGAAGCTATAAAGTAAATATTGACAATATGACTATAATAAACATTTACCTATATAGTACTATACATATAAAAATAGTTAAAGGACAAGGAATAAAATAGAAAAGTATTTGCAACACATCTAAAACATGGATAATAGGCTATTTTTTGTTTTTGTTTTTTGAGGAAAAAAGTTCTACAGACCTTTAATCAATAAATGGATAAAGAATACCAAAAAGTCATTTAAAGCTTTTTTTTTAAATAATAGAAATAGGCAAGAAATATACTAAAACAAGTTTAGTTTCAACAAATAATAAAAGAACAAAATTAAATGACATTGTCACAATCACATTAATGAGTATTAAAAATACTGGTATTATCAAGTATTGACAACTGTGAAACAAACTAGGTATTCATAGAAATTTTTTCTTCATCTTAAAGCAGTCCCTTTAGCATATCTTGTAGTGCTGGTTTGGTGGAGGTGTATTCTTTTAGCCTTCTTTTGTCTGGGAAACTCCTTATTTCACCTTCTATTTTGATTGAGAGCCTTGCTGGGTAGAGCAGTCTTCATTGCAGGCCGTTGTTTTTCATTACTTGGAATATTTCTTGCCATTCCCTTCTGGCTTGCAGTGTTTCTGATGAGAAATCAGCTGCTAGCGGTATCGGGGCTCCCTTATATGTTACTACCTCTTTCTCCCTTGCTGTCTTTAGGATTCTCTGTTTGTCTTTGATATTTGCCATTTTAATGATAATGTGTCTTGGAGTGGGCCTCATTGGGTTCCTCTGGAATGGGACCCTCTGGGCTTCCTGGACTGGTGTGACTTTTTCTGTCCTCCAATTAGGGAAGTTTTCCATCATGACTTTTTCCAACAGGTTCTTCATCCCTTCCTCGTCCTCTTCTCCTTCTGATATCCCTATTACACGGATATTATTACGTTTCAGGTTGTCCTGCATTTCCCTAAACGCCTCTTCATTCTTTTTGAGTCTTTTTTCATTTTCTTGCTCTTTCTGGGAGCTTTTTTCTACGTTGTCCTCCAACTCGCTGATTTGATCCTCGGCTTCATCTAGACTGCTTTTGATTCCTTCTACTGTGTTCTTCAATTCAGAAATTGTATTCTTCATTTCCTCTGGTCTCTTATTGATAGTTTCTATGTCCTTTTTCATGCTGATATAGTTTGCATAAGTTCCTCATAGTTTCCCTGTAGTTTTTGGTAATTCCCTCTGAGTTCACTGAGCGTATTGAGCTTCCTCATAACCGTTGTTTTGAACTCAGTATCTGGTAGTTTACTTGCCCCTATTTCATTTAGTTCTCTTTGTGGGGATTCCTCCTTTCCCTTTGAGTGGGGTGAATTTCTTTGTGTTCCCATTATTTATGAGACTCTTCTCTTTTGCTTCTGCTTCTTAAATTGATCTGTCTTGATTTCCTGACTTTGTGGTATGAACTTCTATGGTTGGAGATTGCTGTTTTTACTTTCTGGGTCTGCCTCTGATGATGTCAGATGTCAACCCTGTCTGACCTTAGGCAGTCAGTTCAAGACTTCCAGTAATCTGTTTATGGCTGTCTCCTTCAGCTGTTTATCTCTCCCTAAGTCAAGTTTGATGTATAGTTCTATATGTTTTATTTCTGTATTTATCTTTCAGTTTGATGTATTTTAGAGTATGTTGGGAACAGAAAGCACTGATATAACTTACTCCTGTTTAAGAAATAATGACAACTAATGCTTATTGATGCAGTAATTCCCTTATTCAACTAATGTTTTTTTGAGTACCTACTATGTGCCATGGGATTAAAAGGAATATGATTAGTTTCATCATCTCTTTAGTCCTATAGTTTATGAAATACAGCATGGTATGTAAAGGACCCTAAAGGCAAGAGACGTAAATTTAGATACTACTGTCTCTTATTGGCTCTGTGATCCTGGCTATGTTACTCTGTGTAGTTGTGTTTAAAATGGAAGAAATAATTTGAGAGCCTGGATTTGCTGGGCCACAGTAACTGTTAGCTGCAGCCTTACTTCCTTTTACTGTTGGATTTAAAACAAATAGAAATTTTAAAACTGAGAATCAGAAATCAATCCTTGAAAGAGGCATCTCTTTTTTCCTGTAAAAAATGGACTATTTTAAATAAGGATTTGGCTTATTTTGAAGGAACTTAGAATTCTGAACACTAACACATTTAGTTTCAGAAAGGAGACTGTCTCCTTAGCATGCTGTCTCGTCCAGCATATGGGTTCATATATGTTTGTGTGACTTTGAAGAGAAGCCACGCATCTTTGAATATTTATAGAATTCAAAGTACTTTCCATAGACATCATCTTTTTTTTCTTTCTTTAGATAGACAAAAGCCCAGAAGGACAATTCACTCAGCTAATGACATTGCCCAAAACCTTACAGCAACAAATAAATTGTATTATGGACCCTCCTGGAAAAAACAGAGATGTGGAAGAAACTTTATTACAACTTGCTCATGATCCTGACTGTGGAGATGTGGTGCGACTAGGTATGTTTATGAATTTGTCGTTGAGCAAGTGCTGGCCTTGGTTAAAAGCAAATTTTGTGATGTGATGTATCCTTTATTCTTTCTTACTTGGTGAGATCAAGAAATAGATTGCTTCTAGGAAGAAGAAAGCATTAACAATCTGGGGGTTTCCAAATTTAAATTTTCATTTATTTGAAGTAGGGTGGTATAAAAGTATTTCTGTTTTCAAATTCCTGGGCCCTAAATCACTGTCAAAGGGGGAAAACAACGTTTCTTTTGGTCCCAAGAGCATAACTTCTAGCAGTTATTTCAAAGGCAAGTGTTCTTCATGGTGGTCTGAGGAGCAAGGAGACTAGTGACACTTTTAATGCTTTTATAATATCAAGAACACAGCTTCCATCAGAGAACATTAAAAACACAGCCTTCATCAGCCGACTCCCATTCAGTGTGTCTCATAGAGTGTTCAGCAGGTTTCATCTGGCCTGGCCTATGTTCTACACATTATTCCGGGGTCCTCCCTAATATTTACCAAAAAATCTGACCCTTATCTTCAGAGACCCACTTCCCTTTGAGGTGTTAAAGGTAATTTATGAGATGAGTCAGAACACAAATAATTTTGAAATAGAAAATGACTCCCTCCCTCAGATGAGTGCATTTTGCTATTTCACTGACTACGTACTTTACTGAGCTTAACCCTTCAAGGTGCAAGCCAGTATGCTAGATATTCACAATGACAATATTGAACATGAGTTGCAACAGGCGGGTGCCACGCACAGTCTCTCAGGGACCTGCCAGGTTGTTGGAACATAGGTTGAGGTCACTAGATACCCACTTTGGAGATAAATGTGGAGGCATATTCTTTGTTGTTATTTTTTTTTTTTTCATTTTAACACTATTCTGGTCACAGTATGATCTCTGCTGCCTTTCATAGGGCATGAAGGACCATACTGTTGATCCTCTGAGGAGTCTCCTCTGTGTGTTTTAAGAATTAAAGCTTTAGTACTGGGCAGAAACATTTGTTTTGTTTTAATTTTCATTTCTTTGTTGTTGTTTTTTTTTTTAGTCCTTTTATATCTTGGAATTGAGAACCAGCAGCCTTAAGTATATTTAAAGGCATAAAATGACCTTTGAAGGTCACCTGCCCCACCCTGTTTTACAGCGAGGAGGCCCAGGCTCAGAGGGGTCGGTCCTTTGCCTGTGCTCACATAGCTGGTCACTGTCACCGCTGGCAACTCCAGCCTCTCTGCCCTTGGTCCTGGTACCCTTTTCACTGTCATTCTGTGACACCAGGACAGAGATAGATGTGCTGGTTTTATTGGATAACTGAAAAAATATTTAGTTCCAGGTTTTAAAAGTGTGAGATGACTAACATCTGGGTTTTTTGGCATCCTTGTTGGTTTTTTTTTCCTCACAGGGCTTTCAGCGATCGTGAGACCTTCTAGTCTGAGACAGAGCACCAAAGGCATTTTCACTGCTGGTAAGAACTTTAGAAAATCCATACTTAATGATACTGCTGGATTGAGTGGCCTCAGGGCCCCTGGTTAAAATGTAAAGCTTTGTCTGTATCCTGCAAATACTTGTGAAATGCTGACTTTTGATGGTCATAAACTAGGATATTGCAATAATGTACAGACAGACAGACAACACTGTGATCTGGTCATCTGAAAAAGTTAAAACATATGAGGTACTGTTGGAAAGTTTAATACCCCTCTAAGTTTTCTGAATAACTCACCTTGTGTGCAGGTTTCCCCTCATGTTTTTCTGTTTATGAAAGTTACACATCCATATCATTGCAGAAAGAGCAGTACTTGCCCTTCTCCCCCACTCCGCTGCTCCAGAGACAACCACTTTCAGTTCTCTTACTATTTTGTTTTTGCTGCCAGTTCACTAAATAATTTTATATTTCTCCTTCTTTGCTTTTCAATTTTAGACATTATTTGTTGACTCCTCACTACAGTAGATTAAAATTCTACTGCTCTACCCCACCTCACCACACACACTCACCCCTCGCATCCCTCAGTCCTCCTAATACAGTTATATTGTAGCTCTAGTAAAGTCAGTCTTCAGAGTTTATGCCATATGACTATGTTAATGAGATTCACAGGTGCGCCACATAATACACTCTTCCTTCTCTGTAGAACTTTCTTTGCCCACAGAGATTATCTTTACCTGTCTCAAGCGAGGGATACCCTCTTTCCTGTTTCTCATTCTTTCATCTTCATGATGTATACTCTTATTCTGGGGAAGCACATCATGTAGTCATTTTCTGAGAAAGGGTGCATAAGAGGCAAATTTGGAGACCATGTATGTCTCAACATATCTTTAGTCTACCCTCCCACATAATTGAGACTTAGGCAAGGGATAAATTTTCATTTAGAACTTTGACATCATTGCTCCAACTATCTTCTTATTTCCAGGATTGCTGTCAAAATCCAAAGATATTCTGAGTATTAATCCTTTGTGTATGTCCTTTCTGGAGGCTTGTTAGGCCTTCATTTTCCTGTAGGACTCTGATGTGCTTTGATCACAGTCTGTTTTTATCTGTTATGTTACCCATTGCTCTTTCAATTTAGGTACTTGGAATATAAGAAAATTTGTATTTATTCTTTTTTATTTTCTTCCCATCTGTTTTCTTTCTTTTCCTTCTGGAACTCCTTTTATTCAAATATTGGACCTCCTAAACTAGTCCTTTGGTTTTTTTTTTCTTTTCTCTCCTGTGTTTGATCTCTTTATCCTTTCGTCTTGCTTTCTGGGAGATTTTCTAAACTTTAGCTTCCAATCCTTCTATTGACTTTTTAAATTTCTATTACACTTTTCATTTCTAGGAGCTCTTTCATTTTCTTTCTTTCTTTCTTTCTTTCTTTTTTTTTTTTTTTGTTCTCTGAATAATCCTTTTTAAAAAATCTTAAAACCTTCTGTTCTTGATTTATAGGCTTAAGCATTTGAACATATCTTTTACTATTGCCTAATTGCCCTCCCAAGTAGTTATATCAATGCCACTAGTAGTAAATGAGAGTTCTTGTTTCTCTCCATTCTTTCCAGTGCTTGGTATTGTCAAATCATGGACTTTTCTAGTTACATATTTCTTATGTAACCATATACTGAAAATCTCTCACGTGCTAGCCATGCAGTATTCAAGGTAAACACAGAACCCTATCCTGTCTTCAAGAAGTTCATAGTCTAGAAAGGGAGACAGACATGTAAATAGAAATTTGCAGTCATACTGCATAAATAGGGCATAAATGATTCAGAGGTAACACAGAGATGGGAGTGACCTTTCAACCTGATTCTGATCCCTGGGTTGAGATTGCCAAGGGGGCTGGCATGGTCACGCCTCTTAACGTTTCACCCCAGCTGCCTGGATACACAGCTGTGTGTTTGGCCCCTAGGACACTGTGTGGTCCCTCCTGAATCTTTGGAAAGATTCAGCCAGAGTCAAGAAAGATTTAGTAGCACATGTGCCAAATCTGAAGATATTTCTCCACTCAAGAGTAGATAGCTTTGCATTTCTAATTAAGATATTATATAATCTGTGTTTCTGCTGGTTTATCCCAGCAAGGCTGAAGATGAGGTACTTTTGTTTGCTTGGGTGGTTTGGGCTATTAATCTGTGTTTTGCATGATTTAAATTCCCTTTCTATAATATACCTCCTTGGGTGAGGCTGAATGGTTTGGGCAGTTTTGTTTATTTTCTTTTTCTTTCCTTTTTTTTTTTAAGCTTCATGTGCTTATATAAGGAATTACTACCTTTACTGATGATTTTGTTGTTGTTGTGAGAATAGTAGTAGAATGGAGTTTTTAAAAATTCCTTTTTTGTAGAAATACATCCTAAAATACTTACAGATGAAATGACAGGGCATCTGATATTTGCTTCAAAATAAAACATGGTGGAGGGAAGTGGATAAAGAGTAGATGACACAAGGTTGGTCAAGACTTGATACAGTGTTGAAGCTGGGTGAAGATACGTGGGAACATTATACTATTTTTTTTATAAATTTACATTTTTCTCTAATAAAAGCTTTTTAAAAATCAATCATCATCATCTCTTGACTTCAAGCTAAGAACCTTTGGTCCTCTCTCCACTCATTCTTTCCAGTGACCAGCAGAGGGCAGTGACTAACACCTCACAGAACACAACCCAGATTTCCTTGTGGCGGTGGGGTGCATGCCCATAGTGGGTTCCCCTGAGTGCTTAATGCCTGTTTCCCTTTTCCTTCTAAAGCTACGTCATTGGACTGAGGAAGTCCAGAGTATTAGAATGTCTGTAACCTGCACTGAGGTTGCAGAAACTGTAGAAAGTGATTGAACATCCCTTCAGATTCTATAGGTTTACTTACCTTACGCTCTGTCTTGTCTGGTTGCTGAAGGCGGTGGCCTGATGAAGGCAGCACAGGCCATGGGCAGGGGTTTGTGAGCCCCAGAGAGTGGGGTTCGAATTCCAACTTAACCACTTTGACTTAGGCAAGTTACCTAATTATTCTCAGCTTTAATTTCATGGGAATAATTAAAAATCATACCTTAAATATATAAAAGTATCTGGTACTGTGCCTAGTTTGTTGTTGTTGTTTTTTAATCATTACCTAAAAGTTTCCTGACCTCTCTTAAAACATGGCTCTTGCACTGGCATATTCAAATAGCATTAGTCCCTTAACCAGGTCTCCCGCTGGAGTGAACTAGCAATGAAAGGAACTGAGTGGCCAATCTGTCTGTTTCTTTTCCCTCTAATTTCACAGCAAGCTCCCAGAACCTCCATCCCCCTGCACTTTGTTCTTTAGAGGTCTTCTTGTTGCAGTTGTAGTTGCTGTTGCTCTGCCATGCATTTGCCAGGGCGGTCTCCCCTGAATCCCCAGAGTTCTGCCTCTGTTCAGTATTTCAGGCAGCTGATGAATCATCTGCAGAATGAGAAAACCCAGTGTATTTGGTTGAGATGTTATTCCGTTGTAGCCGTTATCACTCTGCTTCTTTTCAACCTCTTACTCATAGGGGTAAAAAGGAAGGTCCAAAAGCAAATACCTTTTATATTCAATTCAGACAGGTAACTAACTGAAGAGCTAAGATTGGGGTCACAAACCATTGGCCTGAAGTTGTTCATTTCTCGGCACTGTAACCTTGGTATGTTAATTAGCCCCCTGCCTTGAAATTGTGGGGCTACTAATACTCAATTCACAGTGTGTTCTGAGAGTGTCCGGCCTGTTAACCAGTACCAAGTAGGTGTTTTATAAACTTGGCTGAGTCTAGATCTAAATCTCACCTAGAAAAGATGGAAGCCAGGCATCTATCAGCAGCTCAGAGGATTACCCTTTCTCATAAACTGTGTGGGATAACAGGGCAGCGTGTTCTCATGTGGTCTTTTCACACTCTGAGCTCCCTTGAAGTTCCCTGACAATCAGATACACCCAGAGAAGTGAATACAGAAATGCTTCCAAAACCAAATACTATTTTTTTCCCCTTTAGGCTGAGTTTTCATCATTTAAAAACTAATGCTGACTTCTCTTAGACTGTGCTCTTTGGTAGAATAGCATAGTTCTCGTCAAGGTAGCAGATCAGCAGCTGGAGCCAGCCAGCTCAGCAGTAGTGAAAGACTGTTTAGTCTCCCAATGCTTGCCTGCTCCTCCTTTCATAGTAGCGGCAGATGGCATCACATCTCAAACTGATAACAGAAGACCGGCTGAAGCAAGCTGTCATATTCTGAGAACCAGCAGTCTTTTATGTTTCTAATCTGTTTGGGGAGAAATAGAACTGCTTGAGTATTCTGCTGTGGAAACTAGGAGAAAAATGGCGGGGTTGGTGTGGGGGAGCATTTAGTGATTAAACTGAGAAGTAAGCAGGAGCCAGACAAGGGAAGGCCTTAAAAACCATGAAAGGGAAATCAGAGGTTCTTCTGAGGACAGAAGAAAGCCACTGAAGGACTACAGAAAGACCACTATAGCTAGAGAACTAAGAACAGAGTGAAGGGAGATAAAGCTATTGCTTAGGAAACTAGTTCAATATGGTTGCAGCCAGGCAGGTGAGGCATCATGGCAGCCTGAACTCAGGTCACTGCAGTAGAGGCAGAGAAACAAGATGCCGGCAGTAGATAGAAGGCAGATGGCCAGGTCTTAGTGATTGGAGGGATTTGGGAAGTGAAGGAGAGAGAGAAGTCACAAATAACTCCCAGGTTTTAGGCTTGGGAAGCAGATGGTGGTGCCATTTCAGGAGGTGAGGAAGACTGGGAGGGGATAATGAGTTTAATTTTTGAAATCTTGCTTTAATTTTTCCCCACCTGACTTCATGGTCAATCAGAATTAACTCTGGGGACGGATACCTATGTACTTCTCTAGCTTCAAAAAAGTCAGCTGAATTAATAAGACAGGTTTAGTCTTGTTCCTAAAAAGATTCTGGCATGCCTCAGTTGATTCTTACCTGCCCTTTCCTGGAACGCAATAGAATGGATCATTCATTGTTCCCTACTTCTGATTTCTTATAACTAAAACACTTCTTCCATTTTTTGGGGTACCTACATATTTAAATCAGAAGAACACATAATAATATTTAATATTTAATTTTTTTTCTGGTAATGAGCTTATCATTTGAACTTGAAAGCTTTTAAAATAAGTTGTACTTCTATTTCAAAAGAGATATATTTGTAGATATATCTAACTATGGTTGGAAATTAATAAGAAGGATGTTGAGGGCTTACTGATTTTCTCTCCTAAAGATCTGAAATATAGAATTATGGGAAGGTAGAGACCCCCTTATAACCTACTTATATCTCTGCCTCACATGGTTTCCTAAAGAATTTTGCCTGTCATTGGATCCATCAGTTTAAGGTCACGTATGCAATTTATAGCCTTACATTTGTAGTAATTTTGCTGTAGGTCATATAAAACAAGCTGGAAATCAACAAAAGATATATATTGAAGTCAATTTCTCTATCCTTCCAAAACAAAATCCTGACTTTAGATACTAATCAGAATTCCTACTAACTATAGGTAAATAAGCATCTTTCTAAAGAAGATACATTGTTTTCAAATGTTTCATCTTTATCCTTTGGGGAAGGAACAAAGACAATGATGATGGGTCTTGGAGTAAAATTTCTCTCTTAGGAGGCTGTCTTCCCTCAAGACCCTTTCTTAATGCAGGCTTTCTAAATCATCATCCTTTTTTAAAGAAAGGAAGCAGAAACCAAAAGTAAGCTAAACGTAGGCCAAGTAGAATTCTCTGTATTGTAAACTCTCTGAGGGCAGAGGCTGTAACTGTTGTTCCTACCCTGTCCCCAAGCAACTCTTGGTGTCTTATATGTAGGTGCTCAGTAAATACTCATTTGGTGTATTTCAGTGACTGAATAAATGAAAGATTCTAGATCTTCTGGTAGTAGGGAAAATCTCCATCTGTACAGAAAAGTGCACAAATCATAAATTTGGTGAATTTTCACAAAGTGAACACACTCATGTATCTAGTATCCAGATGAAGAAATAGAACAGTACCAACCAGTCCCCCAGAAATCCCTAGTTACAGCCACTACTCCTCCAAGAGTTAACTACTATCTTGACTTCTAATGCCATCCTTTTGGTTTGCCCATTTTTGAACTTTATATAAATATATACTCTCTTATGTCTCCCACTTCTCATAACATCAGTGAGATCCATCATGATGAGCGGAGTAGCAGTAGTTCATTTATTCTCATTGCTTACACACCATTGTGTGACTATACACAATTTATCTACTCTACTGTTGATTGCTTCTTGAGTTGTTTCTGGTTTGGGGCTACGACAAGTAGCGCTGCTGGTTTTGTCCTATCTTTGGGTAAGCATATTTATGTATTTCTGTTAGAGATAAACCAAGGGGCAGAATTAATTGGATCATAAAGTGTGTGAATGTTGAACTGTGTGGTATCTACCAAACAATTGTCCAAATTGCACTCCCACTAGCAGAGTTTCTATTGCAGCACTTCCTTGGCCAAAATTTAATAATATTATGTGTCTTTTTCATTTTGGACACTCTGGTAGTGAGCAGTGGTATTATACTAGAGTTTTAATTTACATTTTCTGACAACTAATAAAGTTAGGCATTTGGTCATATGGTTATTTGGATCTCCTCTTTTGTGAAGTACCTTTTCTTATCTTTTGTTCATTTTTCTGCTGAGTTGTATGCCTTTCCTTACTGACTTCTCTGTGTAAGCTAGATATAGGTCCTTTCTGGAATATATGTAATGCAAAAATCTCCCTCTCTGGGACCTGTCGTTTCACTCCCTTAATGATGTCTCTTGGTGAAAAGAAGTTCTTGATTTTACTTAGTCCAATTTACCCATTTTATCCTTATGGTTAGCAGCTTTTTGTGTCCTATTTATGAAATTTGGCCTCTGCCGGGTTTATGAAGTTTAAGTCCTCCACCTTTGTTGCAATTAGAATATTGAGGCGGAAAGGACCCTTTATTCTGTTGGGTCTTACCCTTTTGCAAATCCTGGCTCCCTATGAAAATCTGGCTAAAACTCTGGACCCTCTGAACAGAAGTGCACATTTGCATCTACACAGCAAACTGCTACATACAGTGTCAGGGAATTCATAGAGTAACATTGAAGCCTGTCCGTGGGCCCCTCGTTAGAGAATCCTTAACTTAGTCCAAGCCAGTCATTGTACAGATGAGGGAATCAAGGCCAGAGAGGGGGAGCTACACTGTAAGTTTGTGGCCCAGTTGGGACTGGAATTTGGGCCTTTTGACTGCTATTCCAGTGCTCTTTGTAACACAGGTCTCTGCTGCAGTCTTTCTGAGAATATCTCTCTGGCAGAGCCATCGAAGGGAGAGACTGTTTTTAATTAAGGGAGGTTTCTATGGACTAGCAGCAAACAACAACAACAAAAAAAGCTACATGGTGTCTCTGATATACCTTATGTATTTACCTTAAATGTTAAGCTCCAAGGAGTCTGTGAGTAATTTTTTGAAGTTGAACTGGGACTTATCATGGTCGATGCATCTTCCTGTAGCTGTGACTCAGTGCCCTGGGGTTGCTGCGTTAACCTTACCGTATACAACTACCTGTATTCTGCTTAGTGTCTTGATTGGCTCTGGTTGGAACTTTTAAAAAGCACCTTACGTAATAACTTTCCAGTCTCAATGCTCAAGTGGGTGAGGTTTACCAGAGTGGTTGCTCCAGGGAGAAAATTAAAAGGGGTGGAGGCAAGGAAAAGAGCTCTGAGTTTCTTGACTAGGCTATGTCAGTTTGCAAGTAGTCAGCCAGTCAGTAAACAAGCCAGGCCAGAGTTTCTAGAAGTATTTGCTAATGATTTTACTGGTACCTTGCCTTTTAACCTGCCGCTGCCTGCAGTAGCCTCTTAAAAGGTCCTAAGTGGAGTAGGCAGCTTACAGGTAAACAGGGCCAGGTATTTTCAAGAGATCCCTCAAACCCCAGTGCTGGGAGTCCCCGGAACTAATCTTGTTAGTTTAGTTCCAGTGGACTCCTCAGCAGCAGTGCTTGCAAAGTGCACTGCTAGGGGTGTGCATTTCATACTTGCAGCACAGACCACGGCTTGTATCTCATGGTAAAAAAAGACTCTGGATCTCTGGGCCACACCCTGAAACACAGACTAAATGATCTCATTCTCAACACAAAAAAAGTCGAGCTCGCAATGCTGTCTGCAAATAGGATCCTATTAGCTCTGACAGACAAATAACGTCCCATTTATTCTGTCCCTTCCATTTTACTTCTTTCCTATAAGTCCCCCGGAGAACTTTTCTAGTTTCATCTGGTACTTGTGATTAAGCAGATAGAGGGTGCTGGAAGGTCAAATATCTGAAAGAGGCGCATCTGTTCTGTCATTTCAAAAGCACTTACCAAGTACCTCCTATGTGCTGGGTACTGTACTAGATGATGGGGAAACAGGGATGAATAGGACAAGGTCCCTGTCCTCAGGGAACTCCCAGGCTAGGCAGAGGGACAGGTTAACAAACAGTGGGGCGAGTGCTGGGCTGTGTGTCAGCACAGGTGGTGTGCATCGAGGAGGACCAGTGTCTGAATTGGCGTGGGGAGTCAAGGAAGACACTTCTACAGAAGGAATCTGAAAGGGGATTTGATGTCTACCCAGCAGAAAGTGATGGAATCGACATTCACTCTGGGCAGACCAGCAGCAAATGCAGTGACACAGAAGCAGTGAGCTGGGGTTGGCTGGGAGGCAGGCAGTGGGAGTTAGAAAGGGCCAAGGATGCCCACTTGCATACAGATCTTGTCTTTGTTCTTCCTTTCTCCTTTTTTTTAAGAGCTACTAAATTCAAAGGCTGCCAATATGTTCGGACCTCAAAAGATTCACTTACCCCAGAAACTCAGGTACCTTGACATCCATATCAATGTTTTAATAAATGCCTAGATCAGAATCTTTTCCCCTCATGATCATCCTGACCTTTAATAACCTTTGGCTCCCAGGGTCTCCTAGACACCTCAGTCAGCCCATCGTTGCTCCGCTCCAAAGACAAGTCTCTGGTCTGGATATCACGGAACCTCTAGCTGAGCATCCACTCAGTAAGCCTCAGTTTTCTCACTGTCTTTTCTTTTCTCTTTTAGGCATGAAGAAATCGTTGCTCTATAGTTCACTAAAACTGCATAAAATGTGGAAAGGATGGCTGAGGAAATCATCCTGATTTTGCTTGCTTTTATACATGTATAGATGAATAAACTGTTCCCTTTTGACAAAACAGTGTCTGTTACTTTCACCCATTGCTTGAATTTGAAGATACCTTGGTTTGCATAATACAGCAGGTCCTCAAATAACATTGTTTCTTTCATAGTCATTTCATTATGATGTTGATGAGGGGGAAAAAAATTGATTTCTAGCCAGATCCACTATCTGTGTGGAGTTTGCACATTCTCCTCATGCCTGTGTGGGTTTTCTCTGGGTACTCTGGTTTCCACCCACATCCCAAAGATGTGCATGTGAGTTCATCAGCAAGTCTAAATTGTCCTAGTCTGAGAGAGAGTGTGTGTGTGTGTATGCACGCGCGCGCGCCCCCTGCATTGGAAGGGTATCCTGTCCAGGGTGTTTTAACCTCGTACCCAGAGCTGCCAGGACAAGCTCCTGCCACTTGCCACCATGAACTGGAATGAGTGGCTTGAAAGTAATTCTCTTGCTTGTTTTTATTTATCTTTCTAAAACATGTGTATAGCTCACTCTTATTTCAGTGCCTAATATTAGAAGAGTTTTTGGTCTTTATGTAGAAGTGTGGTGATGATTTTATGACCAGAAATATGCCATAGGAACTTAACTCTTGTTTTTCAGTTAGCTTCGTGTAAAATTGATTTTGTGATACATTGTTTTGCTTAAAGGGTTGCAGTTTCCAAGAACCTTTTGACAATGTTAAGTGAGGACTTACTATACTTGATCTCTTAAATGTATGTTTTAGATATTTATGCAGGGGAGAACCAAATACCTTTAGGGACTTAGCATGAGAAGAGAAGAAGCCTCTTCGCATACAAAACCACCCAGGTCCTGCTTTTCTGGGAGCTTTAGCTAGGGTCTGCATTTTTTGGCAGGCAAATGTCTGAAACTTGAGAAAATTGTGTGTATGCTTATGGACACACAGCCCTGGGAGAAACAGGTTGGGGGAGTTTGGCTCTCTCCTCCTATTCTCCATCCCTGTCCACTTGGTTTTTTTTTTTTTTTTCCCCAGTGAGAGCTCTCAAGTGTCACATCAATATTTTCCTGTATTTAGGCTTCTGTTTCTCTTAGTTCTCCATGAAGATGTGTGGCAGTGACTTTTGGAGAAGAACCTGTAGCAGATCCTTTGCAAAGCCTTCACTATTGTAACAGTGAGGAATGTCTGGGTAACAGGAAACCCATTGCTAAGTGTCTTGAACAACAAAAGACTCATTAGCTCAAAGAACTGAAAAGTTAGAGGTGTGGTGGGCTTCACAGTTGGTTTGATTCAGCAGGTTAATAGAATCATCCAGGACTCAGTCTCTCCATCCCTCCTCTCTCTGCCCTTTGCCATGTTAGCATCATACCAAGGCCAGCTTCCCTCTTAGTTCTGAGACTGCTGGCAACAATTTCAAGGTCTATAAGCTTCCCCATCCGCATTTAGGTAAACAGAGAGGGTTCCTTTAAGAAGCCCTCTTAGAAAAACAAGGAAACTTTCCAGCAGTCCCCACCAAGCCTCTGTTTGGTGTCATGGGCCCTAATTGGGTTACCTGTCCATCCCCAAGCCAGTAACTGGCCAAAGGATGAAACCAGGTTGAGGAGTGGAGGCCTGAGGCACTTGCCCTACCCAAGAGTCAGCCTCCCCTCAAGCCCACGGGCTGCAGAGAAGGAGTGGACGCCGGACGGAAACTGAGGGGAGAGCTGCTGGAAGGGAACTCTCTTGTCCAGCTCAATCATCACGTCAGTGTCTTCAGTCCAACCTCAGGTTTTGTCTTTCTTTTCTTCAAATTGTCTCTTCACCTCTCACTGTTTCCATTGTGCAGTGCTCTAGTGCAGACCCTTAGGTTCTTTTGTAAATTTGGACAATTTTTTTTATGTGTTTTCTACCTTTGGGTTCAACTGATTTGAACCCAAATGAGAAGTATCATGGTATAGTGAACGGAGCACAGGCTGAGGGTATGACCAGACCGTGCTGGATCTCTGCTCCACTGCTGACCAGCTGTGTGACTTTGGGCAAGCTACTTAGCCCCTGAACAGTTTCACTGTGAAAGGGGGATAATGTTACAAATCTCTTCAGCTTTTGTGAAGATCCTGTGAGCAGAGGGACCTATGTACTAGAACACTGCCTAACAGCATTCGGTAAATGATTATCACTGTTATTATTTTGTACTATTTTTTTGCTCTTACTTTCTTCTCTAATCCCTTATGTTCCTTTGTGTCTGGCTCTTCCTCAAGAAGCTAAAGTAATTCCCCACTACTTACAGGATAAAACAAGAATTTCTCATTACCAATAGTCAGTTCAGACTGCTATAATGGGGATATCATCCACTGGGCTTATAAGCAACAGAAATTTATTTCTGACAGTTCGGGAGCCTGGGAGTCTGTGATTCAGGTGCTAGCCTGGTTGGGTGCTGATCAGAGCCCTCTTCTGGTTTGCAGAGGGCTGTTCTCTCATATCCTCACATAGTGGGGAGGGCAGAGCCCAAGCAAGCCATCGTGTCTCTTAAGGGCACTAATCCCATTCACAAGGGCTCCACCGTCATGATGTAATTACCTCCCAAAGGCCCCATGTCTGAATACCATCACATTAGAGGGTTAGAATGTCAACATATGAATTTGGCGGGGACATAAACATTCATAACAAGTCTACTCAGGATCTGTTAACTGATTTTATTTTACTTTATCTTCTGTCCCCAGTGTCTGATAGAGCTTTTTATGTCCTCAACTACTTTCCAAAATAGATATTCACTAGAGCACAGAACATTAGTGTCATTTTCCAGCTGGGACTACCTGAGGCTCCAGGAGAAGAGTGACTGCCTAGTGTTATACTATTTGTGAATAACAGAGCTGAGACTTGACCAGGCCTGCAAGCTCCTGTTTAGTGCCTTTTCCACATGAATACTTGATGTATTCCCTAGATGTATTCTTTCTCCTTGATTCATTTAGAAATATAGATATCTAAGTTGGGAATCATCAAACAGGTACACAGGGTGAGAGGTGAGACTTCCTCTGAGATAGATGGAATTCTTTGGCAGGAAGTAGCTCTTCTCAAATTCCAGAAGGCCCCAAAAATCAATGTTCTTGGGAGTCAGCCCTCTTTTCAGCTATGTTCTTGGGCAAATTATTTAACCTTTCTGAAACTCAGTTTCTATATCATAAGGTAGGTATGCTCATACCCATCTGGCAGGCTGGTGTTAGAATTAAATAAGATAATGTATTAAAGCACCTAGTTTAATCCATGATGATAGTGTTTCTACAAATCACTTTGCTATTTAATTCAGATGGTGAGTTTGGATAGCTAGAGATAATCCCATGTGCATAAGTCAAAATCCAGTCAAGTATATCAAATAGAGGGGATTTAATAAAATATTTATTACAAAGATGTTAAAAAGACCGGCAAACATAAGAAGGGGCATGCTGGAGAAGGAAGAAAGGATGATTCCCAGAGGTCAGGAGGCAACTAACATTCCTGGGCTGGAATCTCCAAGTGGACCTGCTTGCTGTGTTCCTGGAGATGCTGCCTGTATTGATTTCAAAATTACATTCACAAATTCTTTGGTTCCACTCACATGAGTAGGTGGAGTCTAATTCTTCTTCCTTGCATATGGGCTGGGCTTAGTGACTTGATTCTAATAGATAAAATACACCAGGCAAGGTACTCTATGACCTCTAAGGTGAGGTCCTAAAAGATGACACAGCTTTGACGTGGCCCTCTCTCAGAACACTCGTTCTTGGAACCCAGACACCACATTGTGAGGAAGCCCAGGCCACATGGAAAGGACAAGTATAAGTGTTCCAGCTGACAGCAAGTGTCAGTTGTCAGACAAGTGAGTGAGCAAGACTTTGTGGTAAAACCCCAGGTCTAGTCACTGCCTGACTGCAGCCCAGCGTGGGACTCCAAACCATACTGCCTAGCTGAGCCCAGTCAACTGCCAGAACTCTGGGGGAGAATAAGAAAATTATTGTCAAAGTCTTTAAGTTTGGGGAAGACTTTTTATGCATCATTAGATAATTGGCCCAATGCCCCTGCCACTGTAGCAACTGCCAAAGAGGTGCCACCACTGCCCAGATGCACTTGGGGACCATGAACAGCTGCTGCTGCTGCTGATGATGCAGCCAAACACTGAAACTTTCTATTTGCCCCACACTTGATCTCACACCACTGACTCCAGCTGGCAAAGCTCATTAGAGAGTCACCTGGTAAGAAAGCCAGGGAAATGTTTGCAGACACTTACCCCCAGAAGTGTAGAGAGGAGTATAAAAGAATGAGTGTGTGGCTGCGGCCCATCAGGTAAATAACTGCCATGTCCACTCCTCCAGTGACTGAATATCCATGTACACCCTTCAATTCACACATAATCTTCCTACAGTAATGGCAGGCTCCAGCTTCCACCTAACATGATGCAACTATGCTTTGTACTAAAGAAAATGCTCTTTCATACAAATTTGTATGATGTTCATTTTCTGCTTTTTGGCAGAAAATGAGCCTTAAATCCATCTCGGTGATGCTAATTCCTCTTGTAATTACAATCTGGCCTGGCTATTGTATAACCTAAAAACTATATAACCTAGAAACTAACCTGTAAAGTTAACCACCACCAACACTCCTTGTAGAAAATAACAGGAGAATGAAGGAGGTAAAAATATATCCATGCCTGTCAGTGATACGAAGATGCATAGAAGTAATAGCAACTATTGGTTGAGCCTTTACAGTGTGTCAGGCACTGTTCTAAGCACTTTCTATACATTTGTTCATTTAATCCTCACCACAGCTTTCTCAATAGGAATTCTTATTACTCTCTATTTTATCCCTAAGAAATGGAACCACAGAGAAATAATATCTTGCATATAGTTTCACAGGTAGTAGATGACAGCCAGGACTCAAAACTGGGCTGTCAGTTTCCAGAGCCTTCCCACTTAACCTCTTAGCTAAATCATCTTTCAATCACTTAGCATTCATCCAGCGAAGCAAAGGAATGGCGGGAGCAAGTGATGTCCAACCCGTTACTTTAAGAACAAGCAAGGTACCCAAAGGAGAAGGAAGAGTGTCCCAGATATAGG